TTTTCTTATTCCGCGTCAAAAACTGAGTAAGAAACTTACACAAGTAGGTTAAAAGCGACATAGAATCGATCTGACACATTTATGAAATCTATACAAGCTTTCTATTTGGTCTCTGAGAAACTTTTTCTTAAAAAACCAAGGTTCTCGGAAGCAGTTTGAGAAGGTAATTATAGAGTGATAAGTTGATCGAGAGCTGAATTTTGTTTTGTTCGAGTTCATCGACCTGTATGTTTTGTGTATTCGTATCTCGTATCGTTTTCTCGATCCTGTAGTTCCTTGGTTTAAGTGACCTAAATAAATGAGAGCTGCTAGATTGTATCAACGTCCCCCTACAACTAATTGAAAGGATTACAGTGCTATTAGATTAAAGGGAGAGCCATCTACCCCGCCCCTTGACATGAATCTGGGATAATGCTTCTGAGAGTTATATCCTCCAGATTAAATAGTTGAATGATTATATTCCCTTAAGAAGGATCGGATAGTTGTATACTTATGAATCGTTAGAGCACTTTATTAAAGGAAATGATCAATCTCACCCAAGGACCAAATATAAGGTATATGATATATAAAAATCCTTACAGTTCGCCATTAACTCAAAAGATTATTCTAAGGAAAGCATAAATCCAAATAACTCTCAGAAGCATTATCATCGATTCATGTCAAGCGGCGGGGCTAGATGGCTCTCCCTTTAAGCTAATAGTACTGTTATGTATCAGTGAAAAGCGAGATGTATCATCCTTGTTAGAATATTCTAAAAATTTAATTCAACAACCTAGGTTTTGAAAAAATATAGAAATATAGATCTAATCAAGTGATACATATATCATTGTTTCAACCTTTTCTTCTTCATTATGACTTAGATAATATCAACAAAGAAAAAACGGCGGTTTTTTCTCCAAAATTGGATTTCTCCTTGTGTTCCACGGATTTAAGTTTTTACTGAGGGAAAAGTCCAGGGAAAATTCAAATTTGTTGAAGGTTTGTTGAAAGTAAAGTAAAAATGCTCCAGATACGCTTAAAACGCTGTGAAATTAGAGTTGCTGTTCCGAATTACCCCAACCTACTCTACTTTATATTTTACTTTCTTACTATAATCTATAGTGACAAGTGAATAAAATAATTCTTCCTATTTATTTTGCCGTTGCATATAAAAACCTTAGTGACAAAGAACAATGTAGAGACCTGCCTTAACCGATCACTGCTTGAAGACCAGATCTAATTCTCGAAATTAATCATTAGCCCCGAAAAAGAATGAAGTTCGAAAAATAATATTGTGTGACAGAAGAATATAGAGCACGACAGCTAACTCAATCGCATAAATTCCGTTGTCTAAAAAATAACTAAGAACTTGCAAACTGCTGACACAAAACTTTTCACATTCGCATATCTGCATTACACGTAGTTCAGCCACCGAAAGCGTGATCCCAGAACATATTCTCAGTGTCTTCAAACTTTAACGATGGTTGAATGGAAACGAATTAAAATTCGAACAATGTGTCATCAGAAAGTGAAAATGAAGCACGAAACAGGACTAAAGCAAACTATCTAAAAGATTTTGTTTAGGACAACTGGCGGCTAGAAGATCAACTGCTTACATAGTACACTACATAGTACATACTGGGTTCTCACGAAGCCGACTATCTCAAAACTCAACCACATCGTTAAAACTCTCATAAAATACTCCCTTTCCTTGATTAACACGCTGATAGAGTCAGAATACGAAAAACATGTATTTTCCTGCTATTAGGATTTTCAGAGGTTTTCTAGAAATCCATCGTAAGAGAATACATAACTTCAAAGCTGTTTTCGTATTCCAAATATTCAATCTACTCTTCTGATATTATCCTGAGAGCTATCCTGAGATATTTTCCTCAAAACGCAGTTTTACTAGGTTTATCCACCTTTTTCTGAAAAACAACATACAAAAGCGTGAATCAGCATGCTGTCTTCTAGCGGTTCGCAAAATTATGCCTGATAAGAAAATGGTTTTCGACTACATCTCATCTATAGAAAGATATACATCTGACGGGAATTTCAATAAAAGCATACAAGCATATGACTCGGCATGTCGTCTTCTACCGCCTCACGAAATTGTGCCTGATCGACACATCTTCTAAAACTGTTTCGAATTCTTCACATTCAATTTTACTCTAATCTTTATCATAAATATTTCTTATACCTGTTACATTCATAGTACTACTGTCCGTTCGCGTGACACGGCTCCTCCGCGAACAAGGCTGTTGCTTTTATCATGTGCTTGCTGTGGAGTCTTAATACGCTGTTGTTACTTGGCTATCAGTTGTTGGTGGTATACTTCGTTTATCGCCAATTGCACTTTTAATTAATCGGAAATCCAACCCACTAGGATAAACATATAATTGGACACGGCGATCTGTTGCATTCATATTTGATGTCGTTGCTCTAATGAACAATGATTCTTTTGCCAGTAACTCTTTGTCTCTCTAACCGATTTCAATTACTGATTACAATACATCTTGAAAGTTCCAGCTTTGTAATGAAATGGGATTCTCAGCAAATCGATTGTAACTTTTAAGCTATAAAGCTTCGAGAGTTAGGAAAGATCTCATTTTAAATTTATGTATGAGCAGTTTTCGACCGATTTCAAAGAAAAGTTTGGATCTTGGATTCTAGGAGGTTTTCAGGGGCTGTTATTGTTCAATCTATCAGTGCGGAAACTCATATTTCAACGAACGTCCGAATTGCCCAGTTACCTTTGCAAAACAATTTTGAGTCAAGTTCATTTTTAGGAAAAAAATTACATGCAAACGGTGCATTACGCGTACAATCGTCCGAAATACTTATTTATGCAAGATACAAAACTTAAATACTTTTGTTTTTACGTCTTGTTAAGCATAAAAGTCTGAAAATATTTTCAGCGTCAACGGTGAAAAACCAGCCAGTTTAACTTTTCAAGCGGATCCGACTGGATTTTTCAGCGCAAGAAGTGTGTCTGATTTTAGCTTTTGCTTGATGAGCTTATTCGTTCTTTCGGTGCCAAAAACAATTGATCTGATTCATCTATCCCGTCATCATTTTTTCTTTCACATGATCTCTGTCTACTGGCTCTCTGTGTTTGTTTTTTTCGATGTCCAACAATCATTTTTATCAAAAAACTGATACTGACCGTAAGAGACAAGCCCGTGCGCGTGCTGGAGATGCTTTTCTTAATGCCTTTATAGATGGAGAGAATGTTAACAGTACGCCAATGAATCCTTCAAATACGCATTATAATTTACAACAACAACATGCGTCAACAGTAGATTTGTTATCTCCATCTCAAAATGATATTTATGATGAACAAAATTTTGATGAGCAACAAAACGATTCAAGTGGTGATGATACGGATGATGATGATGATGATGATCTACAGGAATTATTTAATGTATTAGACGTTAACCGTGAAAAAAAATTGTATTCATCAAGTTCATTATCAATTTATAATGCATGTATGGAAATCGTTCGCTTAAGTCATGATTTAAATTTAAATAAATGCCAAATTAAATGTTTATTAGCTGGATTACATATATTATTATTGAATGATAATATATTACCACGAACTGTTCCAGGTCTAATAAAACTAGTTGCTAAGTGTATGCTTTTCACATTTCATCATAGATTTAGCTAAAGAAAATGTTGTGCGACCAAATTGGTAAAAAGTTGATCCCGATTTCCGTTTCGTATCGGGACCGGTCCCGCTCTTCTTTTTTCATATGGTGTGAACTTTTTTTTAAGCGGAAAATATTAGTGTTTTCTTCTGTCTGCACAAATTCAGCCTGTTTCATCGTCATATCTTTGTTTTCAGGAATTGATTGTTCAAAAAAAGTGAATTATTATTTCGGGAATGTTTTTATCCATTATTTATACCTCAACAAAAAGAATGTTCAATGAACAACCAACGACGTCCATTCAAAAATGTTAGTGAATTGGTGATTAACGATGTTAAAAAAGAGATTACAACTACAACAAAAACATATTTGAATTTAATTCGTGAATATCCAACTCACGAGGGAACCTCACCAACTGATACCCTCTGTTTGAGCTCATACTCTGCTCATAGGTAGAACTAATAGTGTAGATAAAAACTCTAAAAGGATTCATCCCCTTGACTCTTGAAGACCTGGTTTTCTGGAAAAACAGTTTTTCAGAAACTCTAAAAAGTAACCAAAACCTTTTCTTAGTGAGACATAATTGTAGCCCGCACATTTCTGATTAAAATGAGACATCTCTCAGCTCTACATAACCTTTCTTCGCAAACTTACAGAATTTACAAGAAAAGCCCTAAATTAATTTCTTCTTATTTCTGTAGCTCTGAGCTGACAATAAACATTTAGGGCTTTTCTTGTAAATTCTATAAGTTTGCGAAGAAAGGTCATGTAGAGCTGGGAGATGTCTCATTTTAATCAGAAATGTGCGGGCTACAATTATGTCTCACTAAGAAAAGGTTTTGGTTACTTTTTAGAGTTTCTGAAAAACTGTTTTTCCAGAAAACCAGGTCTTCAAGAGTCAAGGGGATGAATCCTTTTAGAGTTTTTATCTACACTATGAGTCCTACCTATGAGTAGAGTATGAGGTCAAACAGAGGGTATCAGTTGGTGAGGTTCCCTCGTCAGTCAAGTGCTCTGTTGCCATGTGATGTATTAAACGGCTAAGTTTATAAACAATTACGATCAAAAATTGATCATCAATTAACACTGGCTTTACATACTGACGGAGCACCAGTCACAAAAATGGGGGGCCAGTCGTTGTGGCCCATTCAGTGTACAATAATGGAACTTCCTCCGCTTATTTGTGACCATATAAACGCAACCATAGTCCGCGGCGCATGGTTGGGTGGCACTCATCCAAATAGAGATTTGTTATGGGTCAAAATTGTTCAACAAATTTATGAATTACTCTAAAGTGGTATCAAAGTTACAACATATAATGCTGAACAATTAAAATTTTCAATTCGTGTACAATATGCCACATTCGACTTACCAGCACTTGCACAAAAGTGCAATATTATTCAATTCAATGGTTATTATGCATGCAGTGATTGTACAATTCAAGGTGTTGCTATTGACCGACAAATATTTTATCCATATTCACCTGTACAGTCACCACGAAAAACTGATCATGACTATTTAACATTATCAACACAAAATTTACCAGCTGCAAGAGCAATGGGAATCAAGGAACCAACCCCATTAACAAAACTTTTATTATTCTCAGATCAAGCTGCAAAAGATTATACGCATCTTGTATGTAGTGGTCACTTTAAAACATTGGTTACTTATTGGGAACGTATTTTATTACCAGGTGTATTTGATCAAAGTTCAAATTATTTATTATCTGTAGTATTACCACATTCATTTGCTTACCAATCTATGCCACTTGTTCAATATGGTCAATGGAAAACAAAAATGTTTCGGTAAGCCTTTTTCGATCTTTTTGCCAGAGAACTCAGGAAAAATGCATTAGCAGAGAAGAAGTTAGAAAGCACAGCATTCGGAGAGCATATATGCATATAATTTACCCGTATGCAAGACTTTTTGTGTGGGACTTTTTGGAAAAACAGCTTTTATTCCTCTATGTTTGATACTTTGTCAGATAGGCTGGGAAAATCTGAGTTTTGATTACTTGTTCTTTTGTTTTTCTTTTTTAGTGATTTTCTTCTTTATGTATGACCAATATTTGTGGTATTATTTTTACCTGATGAACTGGCAGTACGTTTTTTACATTATTTCATTTATATACGTGCTTTACACTTGTATGAAAATAAAAATGTATTAACAGATATTGAAAATTTTTTTAATTATTATTATCAAACTTTGGCGAAACACTATGATGCAAAATCCCAGTTATCTACAATCCATCTTCATTTACATCTCAAAGAACAAGTGCTGAAACATAGTTCATTATCATTAACGTCGTGTTTTTCTCGTGAAGGTTATTTGAGAAATTCATTAAAATGGTGTCATGATATCAGATATGTCTTAAAAAAATTTATTATATTGTTGTTCTCCATATAAAGACTTGTTAATGTTTGGTTTGTTTTCAAGGCTTCTGCAATTGCTCTTGCCCCTTCAGCTGATATATTGTTGCTGTTAATACCAAGAACTGTTAATGTTTGGTTTGTTTTCAAGCCTTCTGCAATTGCTCTTGCCTCTTCAGCTGATATATTGTTGTTCTCCATATAAAGACTTGTTAATGTTTGGTTTGTTTTCAAGCCTTCTGCAATTGCTTTTGCCCCTTCAGTTGATATATTGTTGCTCTCAATACCAAGAACTGTTAATGTTTGGTTTGTTTTCAAGCCTTCTGCAAGTGCTTTTGCCCCTTCAGCTGATATATTGTTGCTGTTAATACCAAGAACTGATAATGTTTGGTTTGTTTTCAAGGCTTCTGCAAGTGCTTTTCCCCCTTCAGCTGATATATTGTTGTTCTCCATATAAAGACTTGTTAATGTTTGGTTTGTTTTCAAGGCTTCTGCAATTGCTTTTGCACCTTCAGCTGATATATTGTTGGTGGCAATATCAAGAGTTCTTCTGTCCTTAGACCTTA